CATTTTTACCTCCTGCCCGGTTTGTGCCCTCAGTTTCTTGATAACCAGGCACCAAAAGTGCATTTTTCTCTTCAAAAAGCCTTTAGGCAGCAAAATGAGAGAAGTGTCTCCTTTCCTCTGTCTGCAGCTTCCTCTGATTCCACCCTTTCTCCCAGATTTCCATTTTTAATTTTTCTTTGTGTGCCCACACTTGGCTTTGGGTAATGGTAGCTCTCATTTTTAAGCAAGAGTACAATAAAGCATGGCAGAAATCAATCCTACATTTCTGCATCTCCAATTTATTTCTTTATTTTATCTCATCCCACAAAGCTTTGCCCAGGAATTGGGCAATTCTGCACCCATGGATTTTGGAATATGGATGGAGAGAGCAAATATTCCCATAATCCTCCCATCATTCCCTCATTGTCCCTCTGCTGTAACACAGCTCTGGGAATTCACAACAGATTGTTTTGAGATTATTTTTCCTGTAATTCCATGTTATTGTTGCTATTATTTAATGTTTGCTGTCCTGCCTCATTTTTGCACTTCAATTTTACCACATGGTGAATATACAGGGGGGAAAAAAAAGCACCAAAACCTCCTTTCCAAGAAAACTCAGGGGGAAATCAATCAAATCCAAAATAAAAATACTTCTAAAAATCTGCAGTGTCACCACTGGCCAGAGATGAGGAAAAGCTCAGACTGAGCCTTGACACAGCATCCAGTTGTGTGCACAAACCTCCAACTCTGCATTCTGGAAAGTTCCCAAGTTTTAAGGGCATTGCTGTGTTTAACATCAGAGCACAGAGTGAGTGCAAATCCAGAACCACTTTGGGATTGAAGTCAGGAACATTTGATTTGTTATTGGGATGTTCTAAAGAAAATATTCAATTTTCACTTCTTTTCTCCTGCCATTTTTCCATGTTTTTCTGCAGGATTTCCTACAGGAACAACCATCTCTTCACCCCCCATGCTGGCAGCACAGCTATTTCATAATTCCATTTATAACCCCATTTATAATCCCATTTATAGCCCCATTTATAGCCCCAGTGTCCCATCAGGAGCACAGACCTCAACAACTGGGAATTTCTGCTTTATCTCAAAGGAGAAGGAAATCTCTCCCTCATTTCCTCCCCATTCCCCTGGAAGTGGCTCCCACATTGTTTCCACACAGGAGCAGGTGAAAAACCTGACAGAATTTCCTTCCTGGCAGCCTCATCTTGCCACAGGATAAAACTGAGCTCCAAAACACAAAATAAAACCAGTTGGAAAATGCACCAAATAAAACCCCTGTAGTTGTTTAGACCTAAGATGACAGGAGAATATTTCAATTAAGTTTATCAAATATATTCTACTAAAAATCACTGTAGAATTAGGACAAAATGGACTTAAAACAATAGGAATTAGTTCATAAGATTCTGAACGAGGTTGAAATAAATGTAGAAGTTTGTTGCCATGAATGCAGCAGTGATGTGCAGAGGGGGTTGCCTGGGCAGCTCCCCTTGGCTTTCCCACCCTTTTTGGGGACTCTGCTGCTCCCCTGCACCCCCAGGGCCCCATTTCCCCCCTTGCCCAGGGGTCAGTACCAGAGGCTGGGGTGTCAGAGCCCTCCAGGGTCACTGCAGGGAGCAGCACAAAGGCCCTGGGGCTCTGGCAGCCCTGCAAGGCCCCCAGCCAAAGCTCATTCATTCATTTATTGATTTATTTGTTGTTCTTTACACCTCTCCAAGGTGAGGAGCACAGCAAAGCAGCAGCAAGGTGCCAGCTTTTCCCCCAAAATCTCCTTTTTTGGAGTGACAGGTGCAGCTTTGCCTGCTGCAGTTTTAGGCTGTGGCAAGCTCATTAAAAATGCAAGATAGCTGTGATTATTTGAAATGATAATTATTAGAATAATGCCAAATAATTCTCCATTCCTGAAGTAGTGAAAGCACTAAAGGGAAATGGATTAAAAGCATGGAGTGCTGGAGTTCAGGGTCCCAGAAGTGACAAACTCCTCCTGTTCTGTGCTGGCAAATCCCACTGGAACCACAAGAATTCTGAAACCAGATTTCTCTCAATCTGCAAGCTCAGGCACAGAATTTGTATCTTTTCTAGAATTACTCAATTACTCTCACATTTTCTGGTTTCCCACAGGTGGTTTTTTTTTGGTTTTTTGTGATTTTATTCACAGAAGTCAGCAGCAGTTTGATTTGAATATTTTCAGTTTGGCATCAGCAGAAACACCTCTATCCAAACTCAGCTTTCAAATTTTACCCTAAAAAGCACCAAAATCAGCAGAAAACCACTGCAAAATAGGGGGTGAAAGGGGGAAAAGGAAGCACAAAAAACCCCTGAAGCAGCCTTCTAAAAAGCAAATATTTTCCATTGAGTAATGGCAATGATGTGAGCAAGATAAAATCAAAGCTCTGAAGGTGTTGGTTCCACATGTGGGACATGTTCTCCTACAACATTTTCTTAAATACTGACAGTAAATGTTCTGTCACACACCCAAACCACTCTTGAGAATCCTTCATTCATATTTTTCCCCAAAATCCAGAGTACAAATGAAATATTTTAATTACACCCTATTGGTATAGTCAAAAATCAGATATTTATAATTGATTTTAAATGATAAATACTTGGTTAAATTGAGTTTAATTAAACTCTTAGTTTTGCTGCTAAAAACCAAAAAAAAGTAAAAGCCAAATCAACCTGTTCCTTATGCCTTCAATTTTTAATTATTTGAAAAATATTAGGGGGAAAAATGCAATTCCTGTGATAACAATCCACAGCCTTAGATGGTTTTATTTCCTTCTAACTCTAAAGAATTCTTAACTTCTAACTCTAAAGAATTTTTAACTTCTAACTCTAAAGAATTTTTAACTTCTAACTCTAAAGAATTTTTAACTTCTAACTCTCAAGAATTTTTAACTTCTAACTCTCAAGAATTTTTAACTTCTAACTCTAAAGAATTTTTAACTTCTAACTCTAAAGAATTTTTAACTTCTAACTCTAAAGAATTTTTAACTTCTAACTCTAAAGAATTTTTAACTTCTAACTCTAAAGAATTTTTAACTTCCAACTCTAAAGAATTTTTAACTTCCAACTCTAAAGAATTTTAACTTCCAACTCTAAAGAATTTTAACTTCCAACTCTAAAGAATTTTAACTTCCAACTCTAAAGAATTTTTAACTTCCAACTCTAAAGAATTTTTAACTTCTAACTCTAAAGAATTTTTAACTTCTAACTCTAAAGAATTTTTAACTTCTAACTCTAAAGAATTTTTAACTTCTAATTCTAAATTTCAACTTCTAACTCTAAATGTGAGGATTTTGGGGTTGAAGCTGTGCTGTCATTGTGTGGAAAGTATTGCCACATTTCCCAAGTGGAAACACTGAATTTTGCACAGTCAGATCAGTGGATTTCACTTTCAAAAGGCAAAGGGAAAGGCCCTGCCCTGTCAGAGATGCTAAAAAAGGCAGAAAATCTCAGTGCAGCTTGTGAGACAAAGGCTGGTGTGATGAAATGTGAAAACTGTGGTGGGAGAGCTCTGGTTTATGGTCAATTCTTGTGTACTTCCCTTTATTTCCCTTTGCAGGGTGGAAAACCTGAAATTCCAGCTTTTAGGAATAAAAGGGATGCTCCCCTCATTCACACAATTTGTGGGAGGAGAAAACCAACTCCATTTTGGGGAAAAAAAATATAAAATAAATGAAGCTCTCAATATTCCCTTCCAGATGTTGCCCTCCCCTGCTCCCAGGGCTCCCTCACTGAGCTCTGGGGTCTCTGGGCCACCATTCCCACCCTGCTCCATCCTGCACTTCCCATTTCTCCCTGCTGGAAATTCTGGCCAAATGAGATTGCAGAACAATTGTATTTATTAAAAAAAGGATGTGTTTACTCCAAGTTGTTTTCTTGGAGGTGCTTCTCGCTCCATCCTGAAGGAGAAAACACAGGAATGAAGTGTTGGAGGAAATCATTAATTGGCATGGAGACTTGCAAACACAGATATCCTCTTTTTGTGGGTGTAGCTGTAAAAAAGGACTGCACAGAAAGCCTGGAGGAAGTGAAGCAAGCACAGCCACCCAGCTACAAGTTCTTGAAATATTTTGGTTTTTTAGAGGGGAACTGGAAGCTCCTTTGACAGAATCCAGCCTAAAATAAACTCTATTAAACATTTCAGACCTTGGGAAGCTCCCACTGATCACTGGTTTCTAGGCCAGAGTAGATTTGGGACTTGGTAGTAATTACAGGTAATGGCAGAAATAGTTATTTAATAGAATTAATATTTAAATACTTGCAGCTTAATTTACATTTTAATTGGCTGGCACATAGCAAAATTCTCATAATTTAAAAACTAGGGAAAAAAAAAAATAAAGTTGTTCCCTTTAGCCTGACTTTAAAACAGCAAAGAGATGCAAGCAAGAATGTGCTCAGAATGTGAAGGTCAAACATGAATATAAATGATATAATATTGACAAATTGTGATTCATTTTACAGTGTGGGCTGTGAACTGTAATCAGTTATGAACTGTAATTAGTTATGAAGGTTGGTTAAAAACATTTCTGGAGCTGGTGAACAACAAACACAATTCAGGGGATTTTTCCTGCCCAATTCATTCCCAGCCTGGTGTCTCAGCAGAGCTGTGCCTGTGGGAGCACAGCAGCTGAGGCAGTTGGAGAATGCAGCTTTCACCAGCCCTGCTGCAGTTCAGAGCTGACCCCCAGGTGCTGAGGCTCTGCCACGCTGAAGCAGCACAAGAATATTGGGGTTGAAGGTTTCTCTGACACTCCAATATTTACGTGCTGCTAGGGCGGAGCGAGCACAAAATCCCCTCCTGCAGAAAGGGCCAGGGATCCCTGAGCTCCTGAGCCTTCAATTCCTGCAGCAGCAGAAAATGATTTGCACCCTGAGCAGAGCATGCAAACCATGATGTGCTGCTACAGCACTTCAAGGCCTCCAAGGCAGCTTTTCAAAGCTGCATTTTTTAAGAGTTTCACCTGGAAATGCAATTTTCAAATGGGTGTTACTCACACACCAACCTGGAGAATTAAGAACCTGTTGTGATCCAGGTCGATGCCGTGGCTTCGGAGGAGCACCCCAACATCTCTGAATGTCTTTTTCTTGCCATTGATGTAGTAGGTGGAGGAATTGTCTCTATAGGCAGTTCTAGAGACACAGAATTTGCTGTCAGGAATGACTTCGTAATCATCTCCTTCCTGCTTGGAGGAAACACAAAGCCAGAGGAACAATTACTGTGGATGGGAATTCACCTCCTATTTCACAATTAACCAGACCAGTTTCATCATGGGGTGTTTTTATCATGGACTCTTGAGCTGTAGAAGAACTGGGAGCTGTCTTAAAATTGCATTTCTTGAAAAAAGAGAAAAACAACAATAAAAAATCCCCTTGGAGAAGTGAACAGAAAAGCCCTGAGCTGTGTTCCTGAGGGGCAGGAATTGCCTGTGCATGGCCAGGCTGCAGGGCTGGGTGTCCCTGCAGAGCTCCCTGCACTCCCAGCTCCACCAGAGAAAAAAGGCAAAAAAAAGTTAAAGATGGGGCAAATGGGACAGCAGCAGCTTCAAAAGACACCTTCCATTCACCTTCCCTTTTACCAGCCAAAATCAAGCTGCTGCCAGGCTTCCAGAAGTGAAAATTCACCCAAATTTAACTCTCAAATTGCTCTCTGGTTTGAAATCCAACTCAGCTTCTGGATGTTCACACAAAGTCAAAAAAAAATGTTTAAAAATTTAAATGGATGAATTTTTTAATCTGGGTATTATAAACACAAAAAGAAAAAAAAATAAGTGTCTTTTCAAACAGGTCCTAAAAACGGCTGAAAATGCTCCACTTGATTAATACCATTTTTGGAATTTCAATGTACACTTCCCCCTTTTTTGGTTGACCCTAAATTTAAAAGTTTGAATGTGTGCACAAAAAAGCAATTTAAATTAGGAGAAATAAATTCTTTGTACCACAATTGCAATAAATCAACAAAAAAATGCTCAAGTTTTTATCAATACACAAAGCAGCAAGCAAAAGAAATATTTTTTTAATTTGCTAACACTTCCTATTTCGTTCTAACAAAATATCAGCTTCAAAAAATTTTAGTGGTAAAATGTGGGCTCCAGAATTTTTGCTGAGAAATCAGTTATAAAATTACAGGCACATTTGCAGTACATAAAGTGTAAATAAGTTTCAGATTCATTATGTATTTTTCTAAATTTAAATAACCTAAAATAATTTCAAATTGGTTTGAAAAGTTTTTCTTAAATAGCTTTTATTTCTTAATGCATATATTTGTGTTATACATTACATATATTGTGTTATACATTACATATATTGTGTTATACATTACATATATTGTGTTATACATTTAAGAATCTCTAATATGTCCAAATATAGATTTATAAATTCCCATGAATTCTTTTAATTGCAGAAATAAATTTTATTTACTTGAGGTAAACAAGATTACAAATTAAAACGAGTTCTTGTTAAAATGATGCTTAAAAATTGCTAAATTGTTTTCCAACAGAAATCTACCCCATATTAGTCCTGCAAATGAAAGAATCTTTTAATTATACAAATTAAAGAATCCTGACTAAGATTTTAAGAGCTGCCCTACTCAGCAGAGGGTTTTTCAAGTTAATTAACACTGCTGGTTTCTATCCCCAAGGTAAACTAATCACGCTAGGAAGTTTTCCCCAGCTCCAAGGAAAATAAGCAAATAGGAAAAGTTGTGCAGCTCCTTAAGGGAAAGAAGCTGGGATCAAACCCACCTTGTCAGTGATCTTTTGGAAGTGAACTTCCACAGAGCAGCTGGGGATGTCCTTGTGCTCATCAGAGCTGTGGATCAGCACCGAGAGCTTTTTGGATCGGATTTTTTGGGCTCGGTAGCCGAACACGAACAGCAGGGAATCGATGATGTTGGATTTGCCGCTGCCGTTCGGCCCAATAATGCACGAGAAACGCTGCACACAAGGGTTGGCAAAAGTCATCTTCAAAGGCAAAGAAATCCTGCACCCATTTCAAGCACGATTCTTGCTCCTCGTGCCTGCAAGGTCGGAGAGCTGAGCTTTGCCTGCCAAGGTAGAAGTGAATAAAAGCCCCGGAGCTGAGCTCAGCTCTCCCAGCTGCGCTGCTTCACCCAGAGCCCTGCACTTTGCAAAGTTTCGTGCTCAGCCACGTAAGGCTCTTGTGGGCACACAAAAATATTCTCTTGCTTCAAACACGGCCCTAAAAGTTCCCCAGCAAACGAAATCAAGAGAAAAGAGAGCTTTTCTAAGCTGTGCTGACAAATTAAAATTGCACAGCATCGCAAAGTTGCACTTCACTGTTTTCTCTGCTTAATTTAGAAATATTTCTAACCCTTAAATATTTTTGCAGTTATTTTGAGGTCAGCTTAGATGAAGGAAATGCAGGAAGGAATAATAGCACCCAGTGAAGCCTTACCTTCGGTTCAAAACTACTTCAGGAAAAAGAAAGATACCTTGTGAAAAGGTCCCAGAGTTTTCTCCCCTGCATAGGATTTGAAGTTCTGGTTTACAATGTGGGTGATCATGAGGCGAGGAGCACCAGGTTCACTGGTCATTGCCGGAGGTGGGGGAGGAGGGATGCTACCCAAAATCTCTTCTAAACTTCGATTATCCACCACCTCATCTGAGGCTGCTAAAACCCATCCAAACAAACAGAAAGATAAAAAAAAAAAACGAGAAAAAAACCAATTGTAAGCTCTCAGTGATTTGACACCTTTTAAAATGCTGAACCGAAAAAGCAAACATCATTTCTGTCCGAACCAAACTACATTTTGGCCTGTAGTTATTCATATGAGCTGAGTGGAATTAAAATTCTTCTTTCCACAAACAAAATGTTTTTTAAGAGCTACTTAAGATGTCCCATCGCTGGGTTTGTTCTTTCATTATGTAATTCTTATTCCAACATACTTTAACAGGCCCCCTGCAATTCCAGCAGCTCCAACCATCACAATAAATCTGCAAATCTGAAGCAGGCAAAGCCTTTCTAATGAATAAGTGCAAAGCCACATTTCAGAGTCGCTGTGCAAGATTTGGGGATCTCTCACGAGGCTCTGAAAGCTGCAATGACAGCACGGCTGCTCTGCAAAGACAGGAAGTTTGTTACGAAAACAAACTGGCCCCCTGGATATCAGCAGAGCAGCTTTTCCCCAGGCACCAGCAATTCCTCCTTCCAACGAGCAGCAGCTTTTGCCACCCAATTTCAATGTCTTTGTCAAATACCTGCCTTGAACAACTGCACATCTGGCTCCCTAAAGTGTTACACAGCTGCTGGGTTTGGCAGATTTTTTTTCTGCGAAAGCTCAACTCAAGGAACTCAAGAAAATACACTGCTTCATGAAAAAGAAAGTCAAATCATTTTAAGAGTTAAGTAAATAAACTTGACATTTATTCCATTCCAAGGAATCCCATACCATTGGCTGCCTATAAATTTGAAAAATCCTGCTGTTGTACCACAACCTTCAGGAGAATGTTGCAGATCAGAGCTCCGAAATAGGCTTTATTAGGAGAAAGTCTCCAAATGGCTTTTGCACTTGGACTGGGCCAAAGCCTTTAACTCTTTGCAGGCTCTTTGGACCATTTTAGAAGCACTTGGAAATTGCCAAAGTGCTGCTTTGTAGAAGGGAAAAGAGCAAATCCCTTCGGGAAGGGTTTGGGAATCCAAGTTGCTGCTGAGGAGGCTCAGGGAGCAGCAGCACAGGCAGCCCAGACCTACCTTGGGGAGGTTCCTGATCGGGCTCCCTGGTGCCTTCGTTTTCCACTTCCATGGCCATGGAGGAGTCCTGCAAGGGCTCCCTGCCCTTCCCACGGGCTGCACTGGAGGTTTTGGTGCTCTTGCCTGGCACGGTCCCTGCTGGCTGCTCCCCTTCCATTCCAAGCAATCAAACAACTGAAGGGCTCTATCTCCTTTGCTAACACAAACAAGAGAAGCCCGTGATCTCAGCACCGAGCCACAGCCCAGCAAGTCACCTACACCTCTGCCCAGATGCTCGACTCATTTAGAAACTTAAGACTGGAGGCATTTAGAAGACAAAAATCCAAATTTGAAACAAAATATCGAGGTTAGCTTCATAACGATAGAGTTTAAGATACATCACCCCCCAATCGAGGGGCTGAGCCTAATCTGTTCTAACGGCACGGATCTACCTGCTGCCAGCTCGTGGGGACATGTTAGGGCAGTGACTCTGCTCCCTGAAAGCCACCCTGGTGCTGGGGGCAAAAGAGTTAAAGACACATGGAATAACAAGCCCAGGAGCCACATGTCCCTACTCTCCTGGAAGAACTCGTTATATTTCAGACCTGACACTCCTTTTACTTTCAATAATCCGTGCTAAATATTTGTATGGCTAGAGAGAGATTGATAAACAGATAGAGAAACAAAAGCCCTGAGTGATTATAGCAAAGATTTGACTCTTAAATAATTTAAATCGACACACTCTGCTCACAAAACGCAACACAACCCCTCCTGCCAGCGTTCAGCATTTCAGAGAGAAAGCAAAAACGAAATACCTTCATCTAGCCGGGATGTTAAAGTGATCTGAGCAAGGACGAGCATTACAAAAGCCATCAGCTGGCACTCGAGCACAGCTCCCCAAACGGGTGAGGAGAAAGCACCCGATGAGAAGAAAAGGAGCAAAACTCTCCCCCCAAAGAGTTGCAATCGCAGCAAGTGGCGAAGCGAGTTCGCAGAAAAACAGACATGAGAAAGTTTACTTCTCACAAGATAAAAAACTGACGTGGTTAGAAAGTCATCTCACAATTGGTGCCAATCATTTGACGTTTTCAGACCTACCCCCAGCCCACACTCTCATGAGAGCCCTTCATTTGGGACAATGGGGGAGGGGGGAAATCAGAGACACAACTCATTTCCAGGCAATTTCAGTCTGTACCCCCGTTCGGAACGGTTCCGCAATGGCTGTCGCGGACAATTACAGCCTCTCAAAGCACTTTTTTTTTATTTTTTCCCCCCCCGAACTGCTCCACTCCAACAGAATTGTGCAATATAGACCTATTTACCTTCGCAACCCTTCCCCCCCCTCGGGACACTTCACCAGAATGAACAAGCCGAACTACTTGACCTCAGCTTTTAAATCGCGATAAATCAGCTGCCACATCGTCTCTAACAAATTTAACAAATTCGTGCCCAGCCCCTCCCCCGAGCCAGCTCGAAGGTGTTCGGTAAAAGCATCGCTCCTGCCAAGCGCCGCTTCCCTCACGGGGACGGCGGAAAAAGAGCCGGAGACGGACAGAAAAGCTTCCTTATTAACAGCCGATTAAATCTGATAGACACAAGCCCTGTCAGTGACAAAACTGGGGCTTTTTCAAAGCCTGAGGAGCCAGACTGCACCCTTGTCACCCTCTTTCCAAGTCACAGAATCCAAGAATATTCCGAGCTGGAAAGGACCCACGGGGATCATCGAGTCCAGCTCCTTTAAGCGAATGGCCAATCGTTAAGAGCTTTCTTGGGATTTTTCTCTCACCCTTCAAGCATCAAAGCAGCAGGCAGAGCCAGGGACAGAAGGGTCCCTCTCTAAGGAGATTAAAGTCGGGTCTCTCCGCTACCCAAACGCGTCCCTGAACTTTCCCGTCCTCCGGTCCGCGGGGCTCCCTCAGGGCACGGCGGGAGCCCTTGGGCTGCACAGCCCCTCGGGAAGCCGCTCCTCGGAGCCCTGTGCCAACAGCAGCCGGGACGGAGCCGCCGGGCCCGGAGCCCTCAGGGGGACCCTCAGTGGGGCAGCCCGGCCCGGGGAGGGAGAGGCGCTGCCGCCGCTTCGCTTCTGCTCCCTCCGGCCCAGGGGGAAGTGGGGAAATGAGGCGCGGGGCAGAACCCGCCGGGCCCCCAGCACCTCCTGCCATCCCCTCGGCAGCTCCCGCCTTCCCCCTCAGCGCCTCCTCCTCAGCACCCCCAGCCTTTCCCCTCAGCACCTTCCCTTCAACATCACTTGTCTCGCCCTTAGCACCTTCCCCTCAAAACTCCTAATCTCCACCTCAGCATCCCTTGTCTCCCCTCAACTCTGCCAGCATCTCCGTTTTCGCCATCAGCACCGTCCCCTCAGCACCCCCTGCCCGGGGCAGCCCCCTGAGGGCACCTCCTCCGCCGCGAAGCCCCCCCACCGCACGGCCCTGAGGCGAACCGCCATCGCTTCCTCCCGCCGAGCTCGTACCTGCTCGTCCCGGCGGCTCCGTGCCCCGGCGAGGCGGCGGCAGCGCGGGCGGCTCCGGCTGCTGTAGAAGCTCGGCGGCTTCCACACTCGAAAATGGCGCCGAAACGGCGAACTCGAACCGAAATTCGTTAGAAAAGCGCGGGGCAGGCTGGGACGGGAGGGGCCGGGCCCGCGGGTTTGAACGGCACCGCCGCCCCCGCCCGCCATCTTGTGTTCGTTACAGCAGGGAGGGGAAAGCGCCCAGAAATCCGCCGGGAGCGGCTTTTTCTGGGCAGAGACGGAGGGGTGGGAGACATTAGGGGGTGAGGGTGGCGAGGTAACACAGCCTGGCGGCCGTGCCGGCGGAGAAAAGGGTTAATTTTAATTTTAGAAGTAGGTCAGTGGGCGGCGCTTGGTTGCTGGGCGACGCGCGCTGGTTTAAAATTAATAAAAAAAATTAAAAATTTTTACAAGTCAAAAAAATATTTTTTTTAAATGGTGAGAGCGCGGCGATTTTGAAGCGGGTTTAATTAATTAACGGGCGGCGCCGTGGCACCTTGGGGGGGCCGGGGGGGAGCCGTGAGGTGGCGGAGGAGGAGGATGAAGAGGATGCGGTCTCGCGAGAAGTCGCCATAGCGACGGCGGCGCTTGGCGGCGGGGGGAGTGGGAGCCGCCGCTCCTGAGGCGACGGGAGCGGGACGGGGAGGCGGGATCATCCCGGGATCGGCCAGGAGCAAGATCCTCCGGGAGCGGGATCATTCCGGGAGCTGGCGGCGGGATCGCCCCGGGTTCCCGTGGGAGCGGGCTCCGCCGGGAGCGGGCTCCGACCGCCGCTCTGCCGCTGCCTCCCGCTGCCCGCGCAGGTAAAGGCGCGCTGGGGAGGCGGCGGCCGCCGGCCCCCTCCCCTCGGCTGAGTCACCGCCGCGGTGGGCGAGAGGGTCGGGAGCCGTGACCCCCGGCTGGGCGTGGGACGGGCGGATGGAGGGGCGGGAGAGCTCCGGGGGACAGCTGAGGGCAGGGCGGGGGAGCCCCGACCCTCAGGAGGGGTTGGGTAATTGCATCTTGGAGAGCTGCAGACGGGGGGAACTGCGGGTGTTGGCGCGGGCGGTGCTGGCCGAGGCTGCCCCGAGGCTTTGGTGTCTCCTTCTCCGTGCCCCGCGTTCCGCCCCTGCTTTTCCTTCTCGGCATTCCCTCCATCCTGCTGTGGCATTCCTTCCCTTTCCTGCTCTGCCCCCATCCCTTCCCCTTGCCTTCCCTAGCCCGCCCGCTAGTTTTCCTTCCCTCTGGCGTTCCTTCCCTGCGCTGCCCCCATCCCGCTCTCCTCCGCCGTTCCTGATCCTCATCTCCGGGCCAGCGGCTCCGCTTGGGAAAGGGAGGAGGCGTCAGGCTCTTGGGCTTCTCCGAGTCCCCAGAATTCCTGCTTAGAATTCCTGCTTAGAATTCCTGCTTAGAATTCCTGCTTATTGCCACATGTCTCCTAAAACTCCTGTTGCCTTCCTTGGGACGGAGGGAATACGTGGGCTGGCAGTGATGGATGTACCTGTGGATGGCCCAGGGTGGGCGTTCAGCCTTTCAGCAGCACCTACAGAGCCATTAAAGCGCTTTAAAAATTATAATAAAGTTCTGGGCTTGGAAAGGAAAATACCACGTTTTCCCTTCCTGGCTGTGTGTCAGCACAGGGGATCTCCAGTGCTCCGACCTCTTGATGTTTTAGGCTTGATCTTAAAGGTCTTTTCCAACCTTAAGGATTCACTGTTCACAGCATCATTTTTTCTTCGAGTTGTCCATATTCAGTTGGATAATGTGAAAACAGAATTCTTTTGAAACTCAGGTATTTCTTGGTGCTTATTTTCCCCCAGTAGTAATATTACTTCAGAACTTTTAATGTTAGTGTTAGTGTCCTCCTCTTGAATTTTGGCTGCTTGTGTATGCATATATATTATGTGAATTATGCATACTTATATATGTATTTGTTTTCTTTTATTGCAGTTGTAACACATGGTTTTAATGCTCCATCTGAACAACTGAGATGAGACTGAAGACTTCCCTTTTAAAGGAGCCAAAACATATCCTTTGTCACAGAAAAAAGCATGGAACATCATGTTCATTCTGAATAGCCTCTTCCAGAAAATATTTTTTTGTTGTTGAAGTTTCAGTAAAATATTAGTAAATTGCAGATGGCTTTTTTTCCTGTTTTTCCTTTGTTCCCCTTGTCATTGACTGCAGCCTTTAAGGACAATATTTTAAGAGACACTGAACACTTATATATGATGTGGTGTGAATAAGCCAACACTTTTGAATGAAAGTTGGATGTTTTGCACTGTGTTTTGCACTAAGACCCTTCACTAACCCAACATTTTGGCCATGTTTCCATAACTTTGCAACATGATAAGAATTTTATTTTTATGAAATATTTTCATTTTGGACTGAATTTTTACCAGCTCTTCTTGGCACATAAGAGCAAAAAAATGAAGAATGAAGATTTATTTTTATTTTTGGATTAAGCGTTCCACACATTGTTACCAGAATAACCCTCCTGCATTGCCGCCTTCAGTTCTGAGATGGGGTATTTGATTCTTTTTAATGCTTAAACTCTCCAGATTCCTTAACTGAATTTCACATAAGGGCTTGGTGAGCTGTGTGGGCTGGACAGCAGCTGATGAGCTGTTCTCCTGCAGCGATGACCAGCAGGTCGTGAAGTGGAACCCGGTGAGCAGCGAGAGCTCGCGCGTGCTGCAGCTGCCGGGTGACGTTTATCCCCTGGATCTGCACTGCTTTCCCAGAGGCACCGGGGCCAAGAGGCAATCCCAGGCTGAGAGCTTTGTTCTGACCAGCTCTGATGGTGAGGCAACTTCAAACAGTTCTAATAATAGCGTTTTAAAAGAATATATTTCAAATGTTGGTTGTTTCGTACCCTTCCTTGAGTGCTCGTGTCAGTCAAACGCAAGGCAGTGTTTGAGGAGCAAGAAGCTTTGAGGATTGCTTGGGGTTTTTTCCTCTTCTCCCCAAAAAGATGAGTTTTCCTGCCCCAGCTTACTCCTGCAGTTTTCCTGCACCAGCCAAGTCCCCTGTGTGATAAGGATTCCTGCAAAGTTGCTGAATCCAAGGGAAAAGCAGCATAATGGCTTTACAGGCTTGCATGAATTCCTAGTTGAACTGCAGATGTTTGAAATCAGAGCAAATGTAAATTTAGTCCCCTTGGGTCTCCTTCTGAAATGAATCTCTTGGGGGATATTGGTCTTTGATTTCCTACTGACATTGGTCTTGCTGCTATTTTTTAACAAAAATGAAGAATATTTTTAGCTTTAACCTTCAAATTCAGGACAAATCATAAGTGATTCAACTTTTTTTTCTTTTTTTATTGACAATTTTATATTAGGTCAGCATTTAAGAGCCCATGGAAGTTAATGAACAAAACATACTTGTTTTATATTCTATATTTATATGTGTTTGGATAGGCTGGGAGTCTCCCACTGGAAATTCCTTCAAAACTGGGGA